AAAACTCAACTTTTAGCACTAAGTATCAGGCATGGTCAAGAAAGCGGGTCATAAGATAGGGTTATTGATCTAGATAACCTCACAACTACATCAGCTGTTAAAATTAGCAACCAAGCAGCCACTAGAAGGGGCGGAACATGTTTGCAGATCTCCAAAATGACCCATACCAAAGAATTGTCATTACTTTTCTTTCTGTTAGCTACCTGGAAACTCACCTCAGAGCAAATGTCATGATTTGACCTAATTAAGAGCTTACTCAGTGCAAACAGCCTTTTCCTCAGGGTGTTTCTCAAACAAAAAAAAAAATATAATAACCAACTAACATTGCAACTGTCTGAGGTGGGGATATCACTCAGAACAAACAAGAAGCTAAACAAAAAAACTAAAAGAGGGGTGACGATCCAAGAAGGATGAATAGGAACAGCTCTGGAGTGCAGTTTCCAGCGAGAACACACAGGGTGAGTGATCACTGCATTTCCAAAAGAGTTTTTACTGCCTGCAGACTAGGAGATTCCTGGGTGGAAAAGCACCACGAGTCTCCAGCACAGCTGTTTCAGCCAGCGCAGTGGGTCTCCACACAAAAACTCACACAAATCTGGACGGCCATTTCAACTGGCACCTGGAATGCCTGGGAGACAGAGTCGCCCATTCAACTGAAAAAAAGGGGGCTGAAACAGGGAGCCAGGTGATCTGGTTTGGCGGGTCCCACCCTGACAAAGACCAGCAATCTGAAACACTCTGGACTGAGAGTTTCATAGCAAGCACAGCTGGACCCAGGACAGTCCAGCTCTGTGGGGGGAAGGGTGCCACCATTACCAAGGCAGTCCACCGCTACCAAGACAGTCTGCCATTACCAAGGCAGTCCGTCATTACCGAGGCAGTCTGCCATTACCCAGGCAGTCCACCATTACAGAGACAGTCTGCCATTACTATGGAAGACTGCCATTACCAAGTCAGTTCTAACTATACCTCTATAAACAAAACTGCAAGGAGGTGCACACAGCAGCTGGACAGAGCCCATGGCAGCTCAGCAATGCCTCTGCTGGAAGACTGTGACTAGGCTACCTCCTTGCTGGTCAGGGCACCTCTGAAAGAAGGCAGCAGCATGTCAGGAGCTTATAAATAAATCTCCACCTTCCCAGGACAGATCACCTGGGAAAAAAAGGCAGTTATGAGTTCCGCTGCAGCAGACTTAAACATAACCACCCAGCAGCTCTGAACGGAACAATGGAACTCACAGCTCAGCACTTGAGCTCCTATAAGGGACACACTGTCTCCTCAAGCAGCTCCCTGACCCCTGTATATCCAAAGAGACACCTCATAATGGAGAGCTCAGGCTGACATCTGGAGGGTAGCCTTCTGGGACAAAGATAACAGAAGAAGGAACTGGCAGCAACTCCTACTATTCTGCAGATGCTGCAGGTGATCCCCAGGCGAGCGGGGTCTGGAGTGTACCTCCAGCAGTCCTGCAACAGAGGGACCTGACTGTTAGAAGGAAAACTAAGAAACAGAAAGAAATAACTTCATCATCAACAAAAAGGACGACCAGTCAGAGACCCCATCCCACAGTCACCAAATACAAAGACCACAGGTAGATAAATCCACAAAGATGGGAAGAAACCAGTGCAAAAAGGATGAAAACACCCAAAACCAGAATGCCTCTCCTCCTCCAAGGGATCACAACTCCTCACCAGCAAGGGAACAAGGCTGGATGGAGAATGAGTCTGATGAATTGACAGAAATAGGCTTCAGGAGGTGGGTAATAACAAACTTCTCTGAGCTAAAAGAACATGTTCTAACCCAATGCAAAGAAACTAAGAACCTTAAAAAAAGGTTTGACGAAATGCTAATGAGAATAAACAGCTTAAAGAAAAATATAAATGACTTAATGGAGCTAAAAATCATGAGAACTTCAAGAAGCATACACAAGTTTTAATAACTGAATTGACCAAGCAGAAGGAAGGATATCAGAGATTGAAGAGCAACTCAATGAAATAAAATGAGAAGGCAAGATTAGAGAAAAAAGAGTGAAAAGAAATGAACAGCGCCTCTAAGAAATATGGGATTATGTGAAAAGACCTAATCTACATTTGATATGTGTACCTGAATGTGACAGAGAGAATGAATCCAAGCTGGAAAACACTTTTCAGGATATTATCCAGGAAAACTTCCCCAACCTAGCAAGGCAGGCCAATATTCAAGTCCAGAAAATACAGAGAACACCACAAAGATATTCCTCAAGAAGAGCAACCCCAAGGCACATAATCATCAGATTCACCAGGGTTGAAATGAAGGAAAAAACACTAACGGCACCCAGGGAAAAAGGTTGGGTTACCCACAAAGGGAAGCCCATCAGACTCACAGAGGATCTCTTGGCAGCAACCCTATAAGCCAGAAGAGAGTGGGGGCCAATATTCAACACTCTTCTTTTTTTTTTTTTTTTTTTTTTTTTTG